AAAAAAAAAAAAAAAAAAAAAAAAAAAAAGGGCCAGGGATTTAGCTCAGCGGTTCAGTGGCCTGCCTCGCAAGTGCAAGGACCAGAGTTCTATACCCGGTACCAAAAAAATAAATAAATAAATAAAAAGGATTTCTTCGGGTCCAGGACTTAACTCAGTGGCACCGCCTCCGCCTCGAAAGCGCAAGGTCCCAAGTTAGCCCCTCATACCCAAGAAAAAAAAATTTTGTGTCTCCAGAGAAGACACAATTGTGCATCTGCTTTTTCTTTGAGACAGGGCCTCACTGTGTGGTCCAGGCTGGCCTTGAACTCACTGTGCAGCCCTGCTTCCGCGGGTGTCTCTACTGCAGCACCTCGGGACTTTGTGGCGTGTCGGTGGCTCTCCATGCCAAGTTGGGGTAAGGTGACTGTTCCAGGGACAAGTGGAGCTTCTAACCAAGTTGTAGGTTTGGGCCACATCTCATAATGTAAGGTTGTTTTCAGTGCTGGGGATGGAACTAAAGCTAGACAAGCGCGTTAGCGGTGAGTCACGCCCCAGCCTACTGTGATATTTAACAAAGAACAGAGCAAGGTGTTGTGTTTATCTGTTGCTCGTTGCTTCGGGGAGGCAGGATAAGGATCAGAGCAGATGTTCTGAGAAGGGTCCTGAGGCCCAAGGTAACTGACGCAAGTTCCAGTTTGCACATTGACTACCACATAAATAATGGGTACCAGAACAAAGTTTTCCTGCCAGACTCAAAGCTTCCAAGCGGTTGAGGACAAAGGTGTGAATATATTGAGCCCAGAAATTGGGTTCACAAAGCATACAATTGGGGCTGGGTTGTGGTAGGGCGCTCGCCTAGCAGGCATGTGGCCCAAGGTTCCACCCCCAGCATGGGCAAATCGGACTAAACTAAACTAAACCAAAAGCCAGGCGAGTTGGCACACGCCTGTAATCTCTGCATTCAGGAGGCTGAGGCAGGAGCATCGCCCCAAGTCCAGTCTGAAGTATAGAGTGAGACTCAAACAAACAAAACAAAATAAAACAAGGGCCGGGGATTTAGCTCAGTGGTGCCGCCATCTGCCTCACAAGCCCAAGGTCCCCGGTACCGAAATAAGTAAAAATAAATAAATAAATAAAACAAAACCCACTGGATGATAGACAGAGCTTTGGAGAGCCCACAGGAAAACCCGTTAGGAGTGGAGGGCGACTTTCGGCACTTATGCCCTGCCTGGAAATGTAATTCCCATCCAATTCTACAATTTTACGCGTAGAGAAACTGAGGCACGGAGGTAGGGATTCAGATCATCGCCCGAGGGAAAACCGCTCAGACTGGGCTCTGCCAGCTTCTGGGGACCCGCTGGCCGGCAGAGCCCGGCTACAACTTCTCCCCACCCTCCACTGGCACCAGCTCCCCGGCCCACTGCCACCACCCGGCAACCCTCCCAGCCACACCTGCCGGAATTCCTGGTGGCCACCTACCTGTGCGCCCCGCCCCGTGGCCCTCTCACCACCCCTCAGCCAGCCTGACTCGCCCCTGCTGCATGACTGGGGCGACCCCACTCCACTCCGCACCTCTGCCTGCCCTGAGTCCTTCCTTGCTGCAAGGCCAGGCAGGGCCCCTTCCAGGCCCCAAGCAGCTGTTTCCTGTTCCCTCGCGCCAGCTGCAAGTGACAGGCAGCAGGTCATCCTGGGGGACGGCCAGTGCTGCTGCTCCAGGCTTGTTTTCAGGAAGCTGCCCCGGGATGCGCTGGGTTTTGGAAAAAGCCTGACCCAGGGCTTAGGGAACTGGGCCTGCCGCCCACGCAGCTGGTGCATGACTGGGCGGGGGGAGCCCCCTCCTCTGGTGACCTGGTCACGCCCGAGGCCGAGGCTCTGGGATGGAGGACACAGTTGCAGTCATGCCTAAGACCTAAACCAGCTGGACCGATGGGCTGGGCTGAGAAATGGGTAGTTGGCCCCGGGGCAGTGAAGAACAGTGATGCTTTGGCTGTTTATTATGAGCCAGATTCCATAATTTATGGGCATTAACTGTTTTTGTTTGTTTTCTGAGGAAGGGTCTTACTGTGTAACTCAGGCTGGCTGTGAACTCACAGCAACCCTCCTGCCTCAGCCTCCTACACCCCAGAAGTTTGGATCCTAGCTAAACCGTCCAAGCTTGGCCCTTCTATGATCATTGTCCATTCCCCCATTGTGCAGATGGAGAAACTGAGATGGAGGGAGGATAAATCCACCTGCCCAAGGTCATAGATGGGCAGAGTCAGGAAGAGGACCTGTGTGGCCTCTGTTCTGGCCACACATTGGGCCGGCCCGGCAAGGAGCCCCTTCCCCTCCCAAGGAGGGGTGGGCAGCCTCCTCCGTGCCCGGCCAGCCGCCTGCACCTGTCAGTCCCTGCCCGTGTCCCTGGTTAGGGGTGTGTAGCTGTCCTTCTCTCTCCTCCGCGCCCTTCCCCGCGCCGTTCCGCGCTGTCACCGCCAGCTCCCGTCCTCTGCCTAGGACCCCCTCATTAGGTCTTCAGATGAGACACCGCCCGCCCCCACGCCCGCCCCGGGGGCTATTTCAGGCTGCTGAGCTGCGATGGTGAAACAAGGATAAGGGATGAGGTCCTGGGGGACATGGGGGGCTCCTTCCCAATTTGAAGCCCTCAGCGTCCTGAGGTAGGGGTGGAGGGGGTGGCTGGAGAGGGGAGGGTGCTCAGGCCAGCACCCCGCGCACACAGCCGCTCAGCTTCGCAGAGACAGGGCAGTTTCCTCCAGGAAGCGCCGCCGGGCGGTCCCATCCGCTGCTCATTGTCCCCGGGTCCTGGCGGCCTTCCCTGCCCCGACTCCGTTTCCTCACCCCGCCCCCCCATCCCGCCCCCAGCCCAGAGCGGGAAGGAAGGACTCGGGTCCCCAAGGCGCCCAGAGTCACCTTGGGCTTGGGTCCCCGTAGCCGGTTGGGGTGCCAGGAGACGGATGAGCCCTCGCTGGCGCCCGCAGGGTGAAAAGAGGGGCGATCTCCGGGATCCAGAGCCCCCTCTCCTCCTGGCTCACCACCTACCTGGCCGCTCCCCGTGGGGTCCCAGCACAATGTGCCCACTTCGCGGCAGCGCGCCCAGCCCGCAGAAGGGTTGGATGTACCGCGTCCGCCTGTCACCGCGTCCCCTGAGTTCCCCAGGAGCCCCTGTGCGTGTTTCCCGAAAGCTGGCCCTTTACCTGAAGCCTCAGACCCGACCGCGCCCGCGCCCGCCCCCTCGGAGCTCCCGGACCGGCTATAAAGGCTTGTATCCGGCTGGGCGTCCACATCAGCCAACCAGCGTCCGACATTCTCTGAGTTGTCCAATGGTGAGGCTGCGTGGGCGGGGTCTGCTGAGGGGCGGGGCCCCTCGCTGACAGTCGCGGAGGGCTGGTCTGGAGACATTTGTGTCCCCAGCCAGCTAAATCCTGCAGGGCCTAGTGCTAAGCAACTTGGATTTGATCCCCCAGGGAACTAGGGAGCCCCAGGAGGAGTCCAAGAATCTGGGTTGGGGGGTGTTGAATGATGGGCGCCTATTCCCAGTGCGTGGGTGAGGTACCAGGACCCCGGGTCTTTGGGACCCCAGGGCCTTTGCATAAGTGGTCCTCCCTTCCTGAAGCGATTCTTCCTGAGGGGGGGCTCAACCTGTGTATTTTTGACCCCTAAAGACCTATGGTATGTGTCCTCTTCTTTTCCATCACTCTGTTTCATTAGTCTAAAAGTCTTCCACTTTGAAAAGCAAAACTCAGGTCTGTCTACCTGTTCGCCATCCGAGTCCCCCACTGACACAAGGGCATCACTGGATCAGAGAGTGCCTCCGGTGTGCAGCAGGTGCTCAGTAAATGCTGAAATGATTATCTACAATTACGTTTAAACCTAGCATGGTGGCATGTGCCCCTAATCCCAGCACTGGTAAGGTCAACCTGAACTACAATTCAAGACCCTGTCTCAAAATAGCGATCAGGGCAGGGGATTTAGCTCAATTACACTGCAGTTACCTTGCAAGCGCAGGGTCCTGAGTTCCATCCCCAGTACCAAAAAAAAAAGAAAAGAAAAGAAAAGAAAAAGAAACTACATGAATTTGTTTTCCTATTAATTTAGCGCCTACTATATGCCAGGCTCTGTGCAAGTCCCACAGTGAGGGGACACAATTGTCTGCTATCTTGATTAAGCTTTATGTTTGGTTGATTTCAGCTTTGGGGTTGTTGTTTTTATTGTTCTTTTTTTTTTTTTTTTTTTTTTTTTCAGTACCAGGGACCGAATTTAGGACCTTGTGCTTGCAAGGTGGGCACTGTGCCACTGAGCTACATCTCCCCGCCCTTGTTTTTGCTCTTTGAGATGAGGTCTTGCCTGTTGGTCCAAGCAGGTCTTGACCTCCTGGCCCTCACGCCTCAGTCTTCACCCCCACCCCAGGGGCAGCCTGATCCAATCACAAAATTGCTGGGCTATTTTCATTTGTTGATTAAACTGGAGAATTCTTTCACATTTCTGCATAAAAATTCCATTGAATTCTAAAAATATTTCTATTGCAAAATATGTAGAACAGATGATTAGTATACGTGAGAGAGCCATGGGTCCAATTCCTAGCACCCCCCAATAAAAGAGATTGCAAAATAAAATCAAGATAAATGCCTGGTTTAAGGGTTACCCTAAGAGAGAGATCTCAGCCAGCAGTGATTTGGGCTGTAAGGGAAATTCAGCAATACCTACAAGACCCCCCTTATTTTTTGTCTCTTTTTTGGTACCATGGGTCAAACTTGGGCCCTTGCTCTTGCAAGGCAGGAGGCGGAACCACTGAGCCAACCCCCCTGCTCCTACAAGCCTTTTTTTTTTTTTTTTTTTTT